AAGGCCAAAAATCTGAGTGTTTTCCTCCTTTACTGCATACACACAGATATATGCATGACGTGCATATGCAGCAGAGGCAAAATTAAGTCAAGTTCTAAATGATGCTTTACTAAAAAATAAACATAACAGAGTGTTAACTGCAGCTCTGAAAATTGGCTCAAAGCATATAAAAGAATCAAGATTTTGAAAACAATTTAATTTCCCAAGTAGATATCTAAGAGAATATAGTGTAGTTTGAAGGCTTGTATAGGATGTAAGGAATAGGTCAATCCCAGTGCACGCTGACTGATCATTCCAGAAAGATCCTCTGGTGGAAAATTCTCTCATGTCACTGTTAGGTGGTAGCCCTGGTTCTCCTAGACCTATACCCCATGGAGCCACAAAGAAAGGAAACTTTCCTGACATGTAATTGGTAAAGACATCACTGCTGTTCTCTTAAATAGTTTTAGATAGTGTTCTTAGAAAAGAAAGCTTGTTTGTCCCAGGGTATAAATTACAAAATACAATTATCAAAACAAATCTAAAAGCAGCTATATTCAAGAGTGGATTAGTTAAATTCTAGGAACCTGAGAAGACTCAGATTTATTTCTTTTTTTTTTTCTTTTCACTTTTTTTTCTAGGACAGGGTGAACAAACATTTTCTGTTGTCCATCACCCTGGCAGGATTCTATAAGAACATCTAAAACCACGACTCCCATACATCTGCTTGCAAGATATATCCCTTATCTCTATCCTATTGCTTGCTTTCTCAAGTGTAGGTTATATGATCATTCCAGGAAACACATTGCTCTGGCACAAGTAGTTCACATTTGACCCAATCTCTCTCCAGAGTTGCTAACACAGATAAGGAAGATGGTATATGCCTTGATATAGCATTTCCCCTTTATCTTAGTGCATATAAACCCAGGGAAACATCACAATTTCATGTATGACACTGTCAGTACCTGCAGGATGGAGTATGTCTTGAAGTCCTGCCCTGTGTTGGAGTCTGGGGAATGGGCAGAGTTGTAGCTTCTGAATAAATGTGCAAACCAGCATTTTGAGTAGAGGTTGTTGATGTGACTCTTCACTCACAAGCACGGTCAGGGCAAAATTCACACCAGCTTTACCCCGTCTCTTCTTTCCAAGTCATACTCATGCAATTCCAGTGCAGTCCTAGTATCAAAGAGGAGACAGGATGAAGTGCATGCACTCTTTGTCTCAGTCCTCAAGCAGCAATTGTTTCAAAGTCTGTGCCAAAGCCCTGTTTCCTTTATCGAAGTTCACAATATGAAAGTGTTCAGCCTGTACAAAACATGCTGTTAAGAGGACACCTGCTAACAGTTTGCTCAGTTTGATAAGTTTCTCATGTTTTTAATTGTGGATGCAGTATGTAAATTGAAGTGCTTGCTGTGTTCTTAATTTGGCAAAAGGTTCATGTTTTTTCATGAAACTTTTGCATGGATTGAGTGCTTTTTCTGCAACAGCAACAAGCATTTAAACTGAAGGCCAAGTGTAAAATGCTAATAAATAATAGTGAGAATAACCATAATGATGCAATATAGAAAATAAGTTTCAGCAAAGGAAAAAGGCTGCTGGGAGGGATGGGGTGTCTTTTATGGTAGTGATATTTCTTCAGCAGCACAGTGTTTGATTTGATTCTCATTTCTGGGCTTTCTGTCCCTCTCCTGTTTAGAGGAGCAGAGTTTTTGCTATACCTTTATTACTTCCTGTGTGCTGCAGCCAGGTAACACAGATTTTTTTACATTTAAGCTGATTCAAATTAATTTTTCACTGGGAAATGACAGTCAGAAGTGAGAGTCCTGCAAGTTCCCCAAACTCTACAGTCCAGTCACATCCCAGCTTCATGCAATACACAGGTGGGCCTTGGGCTGAAACCTCTGCCCCATCTGGTTTCTGAAAATCCCAATTTGGATTTCACTTTGAGAATCCAGAATTTTCACTGTCTGGGGTATCACAGGTAGGAACAGACTCTGGAAGATTTTGATACTATCTGTCAGTAGGGGGAAAGCACCATGCTTGGGCTACTCACAGGGATCAGCATAACTTGAAAGAATACGAACATTTTATAGGTAGTTTCCTATTTCTATCTCAGAAATTCTTTACAGGGTTTATGCAGACATTTTAGATTAAAATATTGAACAATATTCATCAAGCCTGCCTCTTAATTATTCCAATTCTTGCTTAATAGCTCAGAAATCCATTTCTTAAGTACTTAACTTTGTGCTTTCTTTTTTTTCCATTTGATTGCTGCTGAACTCTAACAATCTTTGTTTGCATTTTTCTGTCAGGTAACAGTAGAAAGAAATAATCCAAGTGAGCTATGGGGGTAACAGGACAAAAATTGAAGTCTGTGGAAATGGATTTGTACCTTATCTTTGTTGTACTAATAAGCACAAGAACTCTGATGTGGTTAGAAGATAAAAATGTTCAACTTGTTTAGTAAAATCACAGAGTGCAGGATTAGTTGAACCTTTTGAGACAACCCTCTTCATCTCCATGGGGGCCCCCTCCCCCAGTGATGAGGCCACCCTTTTGCAATATGGTAGGGAACAAGAGAGATGACTGAACCTCGCAGCAACAGAGAACTTCCAAACTGTTTTCATTTAAGTACTAGATGACCAGCTTTGACTTCTAAAAGTATAACAAAAAACATCTGCATGGGTCAGTCAGTAGGCATTAAAAGCTAGGTCCCAACCCATGTTCAGAGCACAGCTTATATAAATAACCTGTTCACTGAAGAGGTGTAAAAAGCGAATGGCAAAGAGAATTACCCTCTTCTGTCTTACACATCTCCTGGACGAGCTAGATGGAACAGTAAACCCTGCAGTATGACACTGGCATCCATCCTTTGGTGAGATTTTTGGTGTTTAGTCCTCCTATGGAGATCTCTTGCATGGCAGCATAGCGTAGCTCTATCAGCACAAGGTATGAGAACTTCACTGTGCAGGCTTCCTGGTGTCCCTGGGCCAGGAAGCAGAACTGTGTAGTCCTAATGTTTGCAAGGTCTTCAAGGGCCTTTCTGTGGACCACAGGATCTGGCTCTGTAAGGAAATATGGTACGGCCAGTCCGTCTGGAAGAGGAAGGATTTGTGCTGGAATGGAATGGAAATGAATCCCTCTTTCAGATGAAGATAGATATTGGTGGTGAGGTATTCAGGGACAAATAGTCAAATTACAGGCAGTGAGCCAGAATTCACCCAGCTAATGCCTAAGGACTTGTACCGGGTTTAGCTGTTAATAAAAGGCACTGAACTAACACCCTTGTCAACAAAGTTAACTTCCCTTGCAGTCAGCGTGCACACACTGCTTTTCACCATATCCTGAAAAGGACAGTTTTCCAGGACTTCTAGTTCAAATTATCTGTTGCTTTTTGTGATAAAAGGGAGACTAACTTTTTGAAATAGTTCAAAAGAAAATAAAGAAGCACAGCTAGCCATTCTTAACAGTCAGAAGTAGTCAGCAGGCAGAAGGAACAGAAGGTGTGGTGTAGCCTCGGAGAGGTGTTTGTAACAGACAAGAACAACACTGCAGTCTGTGTTCCGAAAGCAAAGCCAAAATAGTGAAGACTGAAAGGAGAATAAACTAAAGGAAGGCATGATCAACTCTTTTGCTTTTTAATTGAGTTTTCTTCAACGGGAATTTGAAGCTGCTTAAAAGCTGCTTGGGAGCATTGAAAAACATTCTATCAACTCATACTCTGTGCAGATATGAAATTATCTGTTGATGTACACGTGACAGGTGTTAATTTGTTTGGTTTTGTTGCTTTTGTTGTTTTTATTCTGGCAGGGTGAGCAAGGAGATCTGGGGGAAGCAGGTTACCCAGGAGACTCTGGTCTTCCAGGCCCACAGGTAGGTAAAAACTTCTTTGTTGTTTTTGTGTTAGCTATGGAGAAGATGAGGTGTCAGTCTTGATCTTTTGTTTTTCTTTTGTAATGCTTTGTTTACTTCAACTAATGAATATTATGAGTAAGATTCTTCCCTGGCAAATCTTCTCTGTAACCCTGAGGAATTAAATGTGGCAAGTTTCTTTTTCAGTTTATGTGGGTGCAGCTTCTAGTAAAATCAAAAGAGGAAATTGAATAGCAGAAATAAGTAATTTAACCAACACATCTCTAGCTTACAGGATATTATCAAACAGATATCTTCAAAATGAATTAATTAGAAATTGCTAGCAATAGGTACATAAAATCTATTGCATTTTTGAATATAGTGTATTTCCAGGGTGCATTGAAATGATGAAAATGATATACTGATTGCCAGAACCAATGAGGAAAGCTTTGTGTTTTAAAAATTTGCTTGGTGGAGTCATTTTGAAGAGAATTACGGTGGTAGACTACTTATAGCAGCTTCCAGATTTCAGATGCTCTTAGATGCTCTAAAGATGCTCTTAACTTTAAGTTTTAAGAAACAGGCATTTGGAGAAAGTGTGCCTAGTTGATAGTGGGTTGCTTATGGCTCCCTTGGTATCTTAGACACTTCAGTGGCTCTCTGAATATGGCCCTCAGGCAGCAAGCATCTCAGCTGCTTCACACAGGCAAATCTTTACAACCAAGCAGTCAGAAGTTTCACCTGTGCATTAACGCTTGCGAAACAGGCACTTGGATTCTGGTCATTGCAGCAATCTAATCTTCATTGAAAGGCTATCAACATTGAACTGACTTTTTTTTCAATGGCTTTTTTAAATCAGGGCCCAAGAGGACTACAAGGGATCAGAGGACCTCCAGGACCACAAGGCATGCCAGGCCCTCTGG